TAATATTACAAATACAAAGCAATACTTAAAAGAGAAGAAACGGTTGTCCAGACCAGCTCGTCACAATCAGTGGTTCTTATCCTACCTAATGGCGCGACCCTTTCATAAGTTCCTTGTGCTGTGGTGAACCCCAACCACAAAATTGTAATCGTTGCTACTTCATAACTTCAATCAATATGTGTTTTCCGATTGTCTTAGGTGACCCCTGTGAAAGGATCGTTCGACCCCCAAAGGGGTCGCGACCCACAGGTTGGGAACCGCTGGTTTAGACAGACAAAAGTAAATGAATATAAAAGATGTGTAATTTAGATGCACACTTGTAGAATGGAAGGAGATTGTCATTTAGACAGAAATAGCAAGATGAATGGAAGGATGTTTATCATTGAGACGTGCAGAGGTAGACAAATGAGAGGAAATGCATGATTTAGAGGACAAAATTAGAGGAAAGAATGAGATATGCTATTTCATTAGAAAGAGGTACATTCAAGAAATTAAAAAAAAGATATATCATTTTGGCGGACAACATCAGATGTTAGAAATAGATACGTCTTTAAGAAGACCAGAAGTACACGAATGGAAAGACATGTATCATTTAGTCGAACGGAATGTGATTAATGCGGGGGAGATATGTCATTGAGGAAAACAGAAAATGATACATGAAATGAGATATGCTTTTTAGACCGACAGACTCAGATTAAAGGGAAAACATGTTTTATTAAATATCCTGAAACCATGAGTTGTTAACCCTTAGGCTCGGTACTATGGATATTGCAACCCTTCGGCCTTGATTCCATGATAAATACCGTAAATCTGGGTGAAATGTGGCTTTTCTGTTACCCCAGGGCATAAACTCGGACCAAAAGGAGTTCGTCACCCGGTCGTCGCGAAGTCAGATTTAGCCAACTACGCTAGCGAGCCGGGCAAAGGGAAAACATATGCTATTCAGATAGAAGTCCAAAAGTGGACTAAAAACTTGAAGTTTTCCCTTTTTGCTAAGAAGAAGATGATAATGAAAACAGAGCAGGGAAAAAACCAGGCAAAAGATGAAAAAATGACAGCGAGAACGACTTGTGGGAAATGAAATCGAGCTTCAGAGCGCATTAGAAGCAGCACACAGGAGATACTTGCATCTCCCCTGTAACTCCTTCCCACACTCCTGACCTCAAACACTCCACTTAGTGGAGATGGAGAGTTGCTCTAGAATTTTTGAGAAGAGACTTAGAAGTCTGGCAGAGCCACAGCTGGATCAGGCTCAGTGCGACTTCAGAGCAAACCCAAGTACTCAAGACCTTATCTTCACACTGATACAGATGAGTGAAAAAGCCCTTAAATATAAGAGTGGAACAAGCTTTAGGACTGCTTGTCGGGGAAAAACATCCCAGCCCCCCTGATCAGTGCAATACAGAATTTCTACAAAAGCTTCAGAAATTATGTAAGAACTGCGGACCAAAAGTCAGAAGAATGTGAGACCACTAGCGGTGTTAGACAAGGGGATATCCTCTCACCTTACCTCTTCATTCTTTTGATGGATGTTGTCATCAAGACCTGTAAGCAGAAGACAAAGAAGTACTCAGTAGGATACTCGAAGTTGAGACCAATCTGTATATCAGGGCTGGCATTTTATGACGATGTGGCCCTAATAGATAAATCAGAGGTACACCTTCAGTCCAACTTACTTGTCCGGAAGAAAGAGCTTGAAAAGAGAGGGATGATCATCAGTATCTCCAAAACTAAAACCATGGTGATTTCAAGGGAGAAAAAGAAACACCAGATAATAATGGGACAGTATGCGCGGAAGCAGGTCAACAAGTTAATATATCTTGGAGTGGTATGAGACCGAAATGGAAGCATAAGGACTGAGCTGGCTACATGAAAAGCAGCAGCTAGGAGACTTTTGCAGACCATAAACCGAGGGTTTCTTAGTAAAAAGGAAATTGGCAAGAGAACTAAAATGTCTGTTTACCCCTCTCTCTGTGTACCAGTTCTGACCTACGGGTATGAGTCATGGGCAATGACAACAGCACACAGAAGCCAGCTTTAGGCCTCAGAAATGAGATATCTGAGAAAGGTGGTCTAAGTGACAAGAAAGGACGAAGTCTGCAATCCGACAATACGTCAAGATCTTGATACCCAAACCCTACAAACCCCAGTGGATCAGTCACAGTTACGATGGTTTGGTCATGTATGCAGAATGGGAGAAAATCGACAAATATGGCAGCTAAGAACCAGGGAACCAGGCCTTCAGGGCGACCCAGGGTCCGCTGGAAAGAAAACATCCAACAGTCTCTAACTGACATGGGACTGAAATGGAACAAAGCCAGGGAAAAAAAACTGCTGGTAGAGACGACTGGCTGTCTCTCTGGCAAACCTCTACACCCCAAGGTAGAAGGGGAGTGGCTAAGTAAGTAAGATGGAGAGAGGTGAAGGGGCAGGAGGAGGAAGAGAAGAAGAAGAAGAAGAAGAAGAAGAAGAAGAAGAAGAAGAAGAAGAAGAAGAAGAAGAAGAAGAAGAAGAAGAAGAAGAAGAAGAAGAAGAAGAAGAAGAAGAAGAAGAAGAAGAAGAAGAAGAAGAAGAAGAAGAAGAAGAAGAAGCAGTAGAAGAAGAAGAAGAAGAAGAAGAAGAAGAAGAAGAAGAACAAGAAGAACAAGAACAAGAACAAGAACAAGAACAAGAAGAAAAAGAAGAAGCAGCAGCTACAGCAGAAGCAGAAGCAGCAGCAGAAGAAGAACAAGAAGAAGAACAAGAAGAACAAGAAGAAGAACAACAACAATAACAACAAAAGAACAAAAAAAGAACAAGAACAACAGGAAGAAGATGACAATGCAATTTGGTACATCAGACCTGCTGAGATGCGTAGATGTCCCGAACAAAAAAGGTCTCCTTCGCCAAACTCCCTTCGCCAAGAATGTCTTTCACCTTAACTGATCCAATGACGTCATGTCTAGAGAACCTGTCAAAGTCGTAGATGTTAAACTGCAGTATCCGATGAGGAAGTTCCTCATACGGAACACTGAAAGTGAATGTTTGGTTAAATTCTGGATTCAGGGTTTTCCTGTGTACTTTTGTTTGAAACTTTGTTTTCCTATCCGGAAGAAGGTAAATTTTCACATAAGGGTCAGAAGTTCCTGAAAAGTCTTTAGCTGGCAGATTCTCGGCACGCTGAATGTTTACCAACAGCAAGGCATCTTCTTGACTGTACCTCAGGCTAAAAAAGAGCTTGCCACTTGGTATGTGCTCGGATTTTAAGCTGTCCACCGAGGCTTGCTTGTATAGCTCGGGTTTGATTATTCCGAGGTCTTGTTGCTCTTTCTGCTTAACGCTTTGAACTGTAAACTCAATCTGCGAGAGATTAAGTCTGTGTGAGAGCATACGCTGGAAATTCTGGTGTCTCTGTGGAACACTAGGTAGAGTCCACTGACGGTTAACCAGTTGGAAGATGCTTTTCTTGGAACCAGACGATGCGGATTTCCTGGCTTCGGCAGAATGCGAGACGATGTCTGGGTAGCTCCAGCTGATGGGGACTCCCCCCGGTGTGCTGGCCCATTGTTTCGTGGGTAGCCCTGTCGATAGGTCGGTGGTGGGCAGCAACGACATGCCTTTCTTCCTGCGATGGATGTACCAGGCTGTGATGAGGATCAAACCCAAGCATAATGCCACGCCACCGGTGATGCCTCCAACCAATACCGCGTCGGGACCTGGAAGAAATCAGAGGGGAAAAAAAATAAGGAAATTCACACTCATCGTGAGAAAATGATTCGCCTGCCACCAGGTCTATTTCCGGAAAATGAACCTTAGCTTTCAGGGCGATTTAGCTTAAAATGGGTATCAGGAAATGTTAAAGGAAGTAAAGGTGGCCAGCGTGATGTTTATCACATCATTCACGGAGTGCCAGTTAGACTATAAACAAACCAAAGTAGCATCATATGCCGGATACAATACTAGCATTACAAGTGTCATTAACTGTACTTTTTGGAAGTCACTGTGATGTATCGGCTATATGCTCAGGGGTTTAAATCCGAATAGAGCCGAAATTTGTGTTAATTACTTCAGATCCCATGTCGAACTAGCCTTAAGAGATTAGCAGGTAAAGTCCTGGGAAGTAAAGGCTACGGCCCTGACGTTGACCATAACACCTACCAAGGGTCGATTGGTCTATAAAATATAGGTCGTGCATTTTATGCCTAATATGCCCAAAGGCGTGGGAAGGGGTCCTTTACTTTCCTACGTACTTGGGTGTATTTTACAATGAAGATTTAAATGATTGACATCCAGTCTGCAGGAAAGCATGATCAAAATATGATGCACATATCTAGCTGTTTTATCCATGACTTAGGAGGCTGCGTGGTCTCGAGGCACGGTGTCCGCCCCGAGTGCTAGAGGTTCCGTGTTCAATTCCCGGTAAGGGCTGGGATTTTTTCACGTAGACTTGGACTTCTAGTAATTCCCTCACGTCTCTGGGTAGTGAGATCGGACGCCCGTGCGCATTGTTAAGCACGTAAAAAAATCCGTTGGTGGTTGGTTATCAAAAAGAGTAGCCTAACGGCGCTGCCCGGGCAAAATTTAGAGTTAAAATATACCCAAATGATTTCCGGAACCTCGCCAGAGCCTGTACACTGTGCTGAGCTTCTTCAAACTCAAGACTTGAATTGGAAGAAAAACGTTGCACTTATGGGTTACTACCCGTGTGCTATGATGTTGATCCGTTGTTCAAACCCCAAACATCATAATAGTTAGAAAATTCTTCCTCTTCTTCTTGTGTTTTTAAAAGAGCATTTGGCACTTTGTGTGCTGTTTGACAGTCAGGATGCGATATATGCTCCTTTCGACCTTTGACAATCTATGTCAAAAATCTTTTATTGGTGGCCTTTTACTACATGCTTATTACAGTGAAGTGAGCCATTTCTACGTTTCAGTTTAGAAAATGGGACCTCGAAAGCCACATTTTGAGGTCTCAAAGAAAAAACATAAATCGTGGGGCTTGGGTTGACTCCCTTGAATTT